AAGCCATACTGAATATACAACCGCAAAAAATAACAACATTATTAACAATAATAGACTAGATAAAAACAGGTACATAATACGAACTGCTAAAACTATAACAGCTACTATCCAAAACAATCTATCCAATCTAAACAATGTCAAAATAATTACAACTGCATCCCAAACTATTATGGATATGATCCAAACCAAAAATACCCATAACAATAATAATTCTGAAGCAGGTATATATAGAATAAATTGTCAGAAATGTCCCATACATTGGGGAAAATTGCAAAAATTTGAAAAACGTATCTATGAACACAAAAGGGGCCTTATACACAACAACTTATCAAATGCATGAGTTATACATAGAAATAACTTCAACAACAACTTTGATCTAAAGAATGTCACACTTATTAAAAGAGTAACTTACTTAGAAAGAAAATTCTTCACAGTGTCTCTATCGAATCTTATAAAAATATAAATCTGCGTCCCGGATTTTTACAATATATCCATTCCTGAAGGAATTATTACTTTCCCAAGCCAAGATACATCACTTCAAAAATAGGAAAAAAATTTAATAGAAAACGGTGAAATCCATAATCTCATCTTATCCAAAGTGTATAATACATAATAATAAATTAATCCCAAATCAAAATAATTGAAATACTAATTTGCATAAAAAATTTAAAACTGACTTTCGTTTATTTCGTGTCCTCCCTAACTTGATTGACTTTTCACCTAACCTGATGAATATTTATGAGCGTTCCTATATCTAAAAAATTTGAAGTACTAATAACTATTTTACTCTTGTACATAAACACTTGTTAAAATCCTAGCATTTGCCCTAATAAAGACCATCAGAGGACGAAATGCGACGGGTAAGATAATTTTTTTCTTTTGTCTTTATTCATTTGTCTTTTTACAAATATACTTTATCTAATATATATATAGCCATCCACTGACAGACTGTTTCGCAGCTCATCAGTGTGGCTAGACATCCAATTGCCTCAAGCCGGGATCGAAACCCGACTGATATGGGATGAAGGTGAATTTAGATGTGTTTATTTTTAGACAAACACGTCAGTGACTGGAGAACTTGATTCGTCTTAACGAAGAGTCTTGCATCAGCAACAGTAATAGTCACTGTTTACAAATTCACTTTTCTCCCAGAAGAGCTCGACCGAAATAATTTTTTCAGGACCATGTATATATATATTGACACCCCCCCCACATACACACACATGCATACACACTCGTGGTGTGTGTGTGTGTGTGTGTACGTTTAAATTAATGTATATCTAAATGTTTAAATTGTTTATTTACAATAGTCCCTTTGAAGCATGTCTTTGCTGCAATAAACTGTTCATTGTTGTCAACAATATTTATAAATGTTGCTGGTAGCTATTTGCATATGTGTGACTGTTCTGCATGTCTTACCAGATGTATATATGACCAACTACACAGCAACGTGCATTTTTGAGCGTTGGTGTCCATCAGGACCTTTCATGTCTGTGATATTACATAAATTCCTCCAGCAAGGAATAAGGAGATCCCCCAACCCACGACTGAGGCCAAGACTGAGGCCAAGACATCAATACAAAAATGGTTCTCTGAAGGCGAAAGCCAAGTCTAAGTGGTTTCAACGAAGGCGGTCACTTTGATTGAACAATAAGCTGTATTTTGTTATTCCCATGTACCGTTTGGTTATCTATCTATCTATCTATCTATCTATCTATCTATCTATCTATCTATCTATCTATCTATCTATCTATCTATCTAAGGATGTGCGGGTGGTGCAATGAATAGAGGGTTCGTAAAGAGAAATCGAATAGCTGAGTTCGAATTCCTGTCGCGTTCATTATATCCATTTATGCGCAAATACCACTGGGAAAGGTATGAATTCATCTTTTCCCCTCAGCTATGGGTTAATTAGGAGGGAAATCATCAAAAAATGCAATATTCATTCGCAAAAAAAAGAAAGAATTATTCTTACAATCTAAATTATATATCAGCTTTAAATAACCCACATAGGGTTGATATACCACAAAAATCCCCCCAAACAAATTACTATCTGCCAAGCAAACACAGGACGTTCTTGAAACATTGGAATCAACTATTTTTCTGGCCTCAAACTGAACAGTCATCCGCCAAAAAAAAAAAAAAAAAAAGATTAAGAAGGAAAGAAAAGGAATGTTGAAAAATAATAGAATGGAATAAAGAAAGGAAGAAAAAAGAAAGAAAGAAAAATTGGCAAAGTAAAGGAGGTTCTTAACAAAATTCCAAAGAAGGATCTGCAATATAATCGATCCTTGGCATCTCGACTTCAGTCACTTTCTCACAGACGCGATGCGCCTTCCTACTGTCTTTTCTACAAATATTTTCAGGGTAATTGCTCTGACAAGTTCTTTTCCATGATACCCTGACTACAAAGTTTAAGCGTGTTACTAGATTGGCATCAATGTCCTACTCTTTTACTGCTGAAATAGTTAAATGTAATCGCTACTTCTACTCCAACAGTTTCTTTTCTCGTACTTCCTGCATGTGGAATTCCCGTTTACTTGCCTCCCTGAAAACTGCAGTTTTCAAAAGTTAAATGCAACGTCAATCGCCATATTCTGTTTTCTTGAATCTCTTTCCTCAATCCCCTCTATATACAGTCTTTTCCCTCACTTTCACTTTCTGTAACCCCGCCTTGCTTGGAGCGAACTGATTAAAAAGAAAGAAAGAAAGAAAGAAAGAAAGAAAGAAAGAAAGAAGTAGAAACAGAGAAGAAGTAAAGAAGAAAAAAGAAAGAAAATAAAGAAGGGAAGGTAAAAGAAAAATGACAGAAAGAAAACAATAGAGTAAAAAAAAATGTACGATGAAAGAAGAAAAAAGGAAAATGGAGAGAAAAAAGGCGGGAATAAGCGGAATAAAAAGGAAAATAATAAAAAGTGTATTAAAGGAAAGAACGAAAGAAAGAAATCGAGAAATCAAGGCAGGAAAGAAAGAAAAAAAAAAGAAAAGAAAAGAAAATAAATCATAAAAGAAAAATACCAACACAAGGCAGAAAAAGAAAAAAAAAGAAGTTGCCACAATATGGCTAAATAAATAACGAAACACTGACCTATCAAAACTCCAGTCATTAAGGAACGCTATATAGTAATTTTAACAATAATTTTCTTTCTCCGGCCACAGGAGAGCGAAGAAGCTCTTAAATACATATATACTCGAGAATGCAGGTTTTAATCTGAAATTCATTTCACAGCTTTTGTACTTTTTTCTTTTTTTATTTGATGACTTGGAAAAATAACGTTGACCGATCAGTTCCTTTGTGGCTTGGCCTTGCCCGAACAGGTGGTAATAGAAGTGACGATTAACGAGTCGATTGATTTCGTTGACTTTTCTGTATATTTGTCAGGTGAGATATCGTCAAAAATGATAGGAGGCTGATAACCTTAACTTGAGCGAATGGCTTGGACGATCGATTAGGCCATTTTATCATAATGTAAAAGCAATTCAAACAATTATTGAAACCGTTTCTGGTAGACGAGTGCGTACACGTATACTTATATAAATAAAATCCCATTATGTCTATGTGTTCTTGCTTATATTGCAGAACATTTTTACATATTTACTAAACTTAGCAAAGTCTGGCAAAATATCACATTATGTGGCCATCTAATGATCGTCGAAATAATTAAACTTGAGTATTAAATTGGTCTAAAAACGAATTTGCAATTATGCTACAGTAGGTACTCAGCATTTATTAAACTTTTAGTATAATTCAAGACAACTGAGAATTGCGCCACTGAGGTTTCTTCTTGGGTCAAAGCCGGCATGGATGCTTTCAACCCTTCTCGGAATTACCAGGTGAAACCACAATCCTCTCTGCGGTGCACACCAGCAGGATCTATCTTAGGCCCTACACTGTCCCTGACCTTTATTAATGACCTTCCCGATGTCATTAATTCCCAAGTAGGCATCTACGCGGACGACGCTATTATTTATTCTTATCTCAATAGTAAATCTAGTATCATTGACAAAACTAACATGGCCGCTGATTTTGAAAAGGAGCTCCAATCTGTGGTTGACTGGGGCAGGTAATGGCTTGTAAACTTTAATGCCTCCAAAACGAAACTACTCTCCTTTACCCACCACAGAGAACCCTCCCTGCCTCCCATCAGAATGGCTGATTCCTAACTCCTTGAGAGTGCCTCGTTAAGCCCACCTGGTCTCATGCTGTCCGCTGACATGAGGTGTAATAAATACATTGAATCAATTGCTTCATCTACCGCAAGGAAAAGTTGGTTCTCTATATCGTGCCAGAAAGTTTTTTCTCGTCTGTGTCCATCCCTCAAATCTATAAATCAACCATCCAATATGAATTATTGCTGTCATATATGGCTGGTGCCCGCGCTGTACGTCTTGAGGTCCTCGACAAAATCCAGAGACGAATATGCAATTGGCCCTTATCTGGCATCTCGTCAACAGTCACTTACTCAAAGACGTGCCGTGGCTTCTCTCTGTATTTTCTATAAATATTTTCACGGCAACTGTTTCGACGAGCTATTTTCACTGGTTCCCAGACTCCATAAATTTAAGTGAGCTACTAGGCCGGCATCTCGGCCCCACCGTTTCACTGTCGAACCGATTAAATGTAACAGCCTCTTCTACTGAAACGGCTTCTTCTCTCGCACTTCCCGTCTGTGGAACTTCCTCTTGCTTGCTTCCCTGATAACTATAATCTTCAAATTCAAGTGTAATGTCAATCGACATCTTCTGATACCTTGATCTTGTTCCTCGTCTTTCGTTGTACGCTCCTGCCTTCTTCAGGTGGTTGGAATTTCGAACTGAACCCTTTATTTCGATCACTGGGGTAGAGTGTTCTAGTTCCACGTGCCATGTTTGATGGATGTCAGTTATCAGTTATCTCCTGCTAATTTTCCCTCTGAAAGTTCTCCACTGCCTTAACCAGGAATTGAACTCACCTTCTTTGGGTCTGTCACTGGATCTAACCAACGCCTTTATCCACTGTGCCATGTGTCCTTGAGGACAAATATGGCGACAAAGATGAGGACAATAGTCCGACTAATGTAAATACTGTACATAATACCTCATCTCAGAAATATAGAAAGACTCAGGATGATAAAGCTTTTGAAGTTGGCGTGGAAAGCGAAACTGTTATGTAATATGGTAGCTATCTAATGATTAGCCTTATTCTAGCCAATCAATGTCTCAGTTCGTCCACAGAGCAAGCCTGACAAGGCAAACTTCGATTACACTATTTACATTATTCGGACTATTGTCCTCATCTTTGTTGCCATATTTATCACAACGTTTCGGCCGTTGTACGCTCCACCCTTCTTCAGGAATGTCGAACTGAACCCTTTATTTGGCTCGCTGGGGTAGACTGTTCTAGTTCCACGTGCCGTGTCTAATGGATCTCAGTTATCAGTTAGCTCATTGTTAATTCACCTCTTCAAGTTCTCCACTGCCTTAACCAGGTATTGAACTCACACCTTTTTGGGTCCTGTCACTGGATCTAACCAACGCCTTCGTCCACTGTGCCATGTGTCCTTAAGGACCAGTGAGCGAAATAAAGGGTCCAGTTCAACATTCCAACCATCTGAAGAAGGCCGGAGCGTACAACGGCCAAAACGTTGTGATAAATATGGCAACAAAGATGAGGACAATAGTCCGAATAATGTAAATAAAAATCCTTTTGATAAAACTACTGTTGTTTACGTCTTTTTTACATATATCTAAAAAAATGATTATAAACTATAATTTTGTAAAGAGAAAATTTCACTGAAATATGCTGGAAAATGTTTAGGTTTCCATCTGAAATCAAGAAAATATGAATTTTATGTAAAATGGTAACGCTTTATGGAAGAAAGGAGGTATCACTTTTGAAATAACTGAACATATAGACATTCATAAGGTCCGCACGAGCTTAAAAACATTTTTTAAAACTTCATTAAAAAACGTATATGTTGACGGAAGCCAAATCTGGAGTAAGTGGTTAAGGAGACTTAGTGACCTGGCTAATGTGATGTTTTGTCAAAATTTCTGTACAAGACTTGAAGAATCTATTTTCTTGTTCATTGTGAATGTGATAGTCATAGTACATTCGTTTCCTCCTTCTTTATCTCTATTTTATTACCCCATCTTTATTACCCCATCTTCCTGCCATCAGTAAACTGACACCTACATTTTACCCCATCTATCTAAACTATAATTTTTGGAAAGTGAGCATTTCATTGAAATATGTTGGAAAATGTCTAGGTTTCCATCTGAAATCAAGAAAATATGAACTTTATGTAAAATGGTAACAGTATATGGAAAAAAAAGATGCCAGTTTAAAACCATATTCTCCTGGCGTTTGCATAAAATGACACCTACGTTTTTCCAGATATCTAAAATATAGTTATAAACTATAATATTATAAACTTTTCATTTGAAATTAAGAAAATATGAAATTAAAGTAGCAAATGGTCATAATATACGAAAAAAAGAAAAGAAAAAGAACGCTTTAATTTAAAACTGACGCCAGAAGGATATGAGGTATCATATGGGTAAACATATGGCATAGCCTAAATAAAATTAACTGGTAAAAGGAAACAACTGCAACAATAACAGCAAATGTAAAATTTAGTACAAGGAAGATAAAGAATTAAAATAAAACTTGCATGGCCAAGACTGGCATGAAAGAGAGACGTTAATCGTCTAGCATAGGCTAATCACTGGACATTTACCGTATCACATAACAATTTCGCTTTCCACGTCAACTTTAAAAACTTTATCATCTTCTTTCGCCGTCAGCTTTTCGAGAGGTGAGACGTGGATTTAATTTTTGTAGAAAACATGTACTGCTAAAACAGATGTCCTTCCTACCAAACGCGAAGAACAGTTGAGAAAACAACGAAGTATGAAGCTAGCTGTACTAGAATATCTTCTGCCCAAAAGATGAACCAAAAAAGGAAACTAATCACGTTGTTCGTCTTTCATAAATTGGTAGAGATATTCGACAAAATAACCCAAATAAGAAGGTCGGCTGAAAAGTTCATAGGCTGACCAAGATACTCTCAGGAAATGTGTCTAAATGAAATTTATTTTTCAGCATAGTCCCCTTGGCGATACACAAACTGCTTCTATCATTGTTGCAGTGCTTGGATCCCACTGGTGAAGAAGCTTTCATCCTGTTGATCGAAAAAGTGTACATAATCACTACGATAATGGCTAGAGTCACACACAACAGCCATTGAAACCAAGGACTTGTGTGCTCGAGCAATGTCTTGATGAAGCAAGATCTCTTTTGTCAGTTTTCCTGGACATTTGGTCTTGGTAATCTTTTGTAACCGCCTCAGCAAGTTGGCATAGTACTCTCCATTGATGGTGTGGCCCTTTTAAAGATAATCAATAAATACGATGCCTTTTGCATCCCCCTAAAACTGAGGCCATCATATTCCTTGCAGATGAAACGACCTTGTCCTTCTTTCTTGAACATTCAGGCCGGTAAATGTAATTAATACTATTTAATTAAAAACAGAGCATTTACTTAAATAAATTGTATCTATAAAAATAATGAAAAGAAAATATATTAAATAATTTAATTTTAATTTAATCCACTTCATTTATATATATATATATTGTTGTAGCATACCTACGGACGATAATGGATATGTCCCGATTCACATAAATACAGTAGTAAATACTGTATGTTGGTCTGCAGTTCGAGATTCGTCTCCAGCTGTGCTGGTCAAACTCTCTGTCTTCTGACAGAGAGCATCCCCAGATGAGGCTATGTCGAAGGGCAGTTTCGTCTCGGCAAACAGCTACCCGACCCGGTTTTATATGACGTCTAGGGGGAATTTTTGACCAAGCCTACAGGCTCAGATACCTCACATTAAATTCGGCCTTGTGCCACATCTGACCGCGTGGAGCGATTGGTAAATATCCTGCAGTTGGAGATTCGTCTCCAGTTGTGCTGGTCAAACTCTCTGCCTCCGGACAGAGAGGATCCCCAGACGAGGCTATGTCGAAGGGCTGGGTCTCCTCTCGGGAAACAGCTACCCGACCCTTGTGCCACAACCGATCGCGTGGAGCGGTTGCTAGATATCCTGCAGTTGGAGATTCATTATGGAATTCACTTGACTGACTTCTAGCAGTTGACTACTTTTTCTACGAGCCGTTGGCAAATCTTATATGTGTTGTTCTGATCCTAAGTATTATCGTTTATTACCAACCTTCGTTTGTTTATTCTATTCAGTAACTTTTCCTAGGTTACAACAATATCTATCTTCACAAGGCTATTTTCGTTTTCTTATTTAGTTTGGTGGTATCTTAAGTATTATATATATAAGGACAAAAGCACAAAAGGAAAGGCTTACCAACATGTATCGGCATCTGTGTGGGAAATTTAATGACCTCACATGCAAGGTCGTGGCTTGATGAACAAAGAGAGAGACAACTGAACTTTGTAAAACCTTCTTCATATAAGGAACATAATACATAACATGAAAGAGAACAGATAAAAAAATTGCTAAAAACATATTCCTTTAGTGGTTACTATCAAAGCTTCGAGGGAATAGTGTTCCATCGCATGTTGCTAGTAATACTGTTCATATGATCATAATAGAGTTCTTTATTATACAATAATCGTTTCAATAAACATTTCTTTATTAATAGAATGTTTGTTACATAAACAGATCAATTGTTTATTAATACAAAGTTATTTTCCTCAATCCAACAGACCAAACAAAAGAGAAATCGATAACCGCAACCTGCTAGTGTAAACATGATAATTGGTGTTTACTTGACAATCAACTTTTTAGAGTTATTCAATACGAATAACTTTTTAGTGTTATTCAATAAGAATAACATTTTAGAGTAATTCAATAAGAATAACTTTTTAGAGTTTTTCAATAAGAATAACTTTTTAGAGTTATTCAATAAGAATAACTTGAAATATGACAATCTTTGATATATCACTATTGATATCTTCCGGCACTATTATGTCCTATTATTAGTATATGCATGTATGAGTGTCCACGTTTTTTTTGTAAACTTGTAAATTTGTTAATTCAATTCGAATTATGCCCCTTTTCGTGGTTAGCTATAGATTTTTAGCTTATGTGTTTTTATGTATATTATTACATTTATTGCTTAATAAAATGTTATTTTCTACCCTTGTTAAAGTATTTCAAGTATTATAGTTGTCCACCGCTGTTAGGTGAACAAGTTTACCGCGGTACCCGGAATACCGCGGGTGGGTGGGTGGTTGGTTGGACCCCCAAGATTTTGCTCTCGTACCCTCAATGTCGCTCACTATTTTTATTTATTTTTTTTAGAAATTCCACTTAATTTTACCAATTTCTGGGTCATCTTCTTCACGATAGACAGAACAAACATCGATCATTAGATGGGTCCTAATTTCTTTTAATAATTACACTACATTTTTACACGTTTTACCTTGATTTTGATGATCAAACAGACCAAATTTTTGCGGAATTTTAACACCTCGGCCGTTTCATAAATCCAATTTTATTGGTAATAATTACACATGATTACTTTATATTTTTTTGAGGACGGTTAAAATTTATTGTATAAAAATTCTGCTGTAAAACACCGAGATAAATTGAAATTTCGGGTAATTTTTTTTTAAGCCCCACGCTAAGAATCTAATAAAAATTTCCCGAATAGTTATATTTACGGGTAAATTTACATGCTTAATTCGAAAATAACAAATAAATTTTGATAAAATTTACCTTTTTGGAGTTATAGACAATAAAAGTTCAGACTCATTCGCGGCAGCCATTACTGGCGTTGTTTGCATATATTTGCTGTAGAACAGACATTCACTTGCATCGATTATTGCGCCTGCACTGATGCAAACAATAATGGCTGCCGCGCCGTAGCCGACGACACGAATGAGTCCGAAATTTTATTTCCGATAACTCCAAAACTGTAAATTTTATAAAATTTGTTTGTTATTTTCGAATTAGACATGTAAATTTAGAATATAGAAATAACTGTTTAGGAAAATTTTATTAGATACTTAGCGCGGGGCTTAAAACGTAAATTACCCGAAATTTCTTATGGAATAAGAAATTTCGGGTAATTTACGTTTTAAGCATAAATTAATATATACGTTTTATGGCATAAATTAATATATTTTTTGAGGTTCTTTCAGAGCCGTTATCTACGGTACATATCGTGAAAAAGGGCAAATAGAGCCCCCAAATCAGGTAGGTGTTCAACCTCCTATTATCATCCTCACAGCTACTGAGATTCACTTGCAGCATGGGTCGGCCATCTTGGATCCCAAGGCCCGCGTTATAGTGGTAGACTACTGTAATTATACCAATTAAAAGATGAGATCGCTATTTTTTTCATTAGTATTTATTTTCATGACACTTCATTTTATTATTTATATGTTGTATAGTGTAATGTTTTATGAGTGTGCGCATAATTAGAAAAGGATTATTTGTGGTTTCAGTTGAACCATATAATCTTCCCATAGTAACCTATCATCACGAGGCGGATCAAATATTCAAGGGTAGTTTGAAGTTCACTTTGGCCGGTATTTCTTTAGGGAAGTGTTTTCTTCAACCGGAATTATTATTTTGGCTATGTCCTGTTGATGTTTTTCATACATCTTGCTGGATGATTTCTTTAAAGTATTCGTAAACTTCAGTCGTGACGATAATTACAGCGCGGTCAAGTAGTTATGTCTTGAATTCTCAAATGGATTGCATATCAACAGTTTAATGTCTTATAAAGGACAATCCTATCAGGTGCTACTGCTCCTGTGAGTAATGGCAATCAAGGACTGACTCCACTCTCATCAAGTCCGGCGATCGGGCCTCGTCACCGGATTTAGTTTAAAGTTTTAACCAGGACAGTATTCGTGTGTGAATAGATGTAGTTTAAAGTCTTACCCAGGATGGAACTGGTCAGGACTTTGTAGATGAATTCCAGATAGAATCTTGGGTTCGAAAGTACTGAAGAACAGGAAAAAATGTCTGTCACTGATAATACCGGTTGGGTTTTCCCTCTATGAACAGTAGATCTTGCATTATTTCAAGTGATCATTTGCATTTAGTGAATATGTAGTATTTTGAATTTAACACCTGTGTTCTTGGAGTAAACTGTTTTAAATCTTGTACCCATTTAAGCGATATTTTACGTGCATGATAGCACTTGTGTTAAATCTTTATTCACCTCTAATTATCGTTATCATGGATAAAATTTAATGTCTTGTTCATGAACAAATTTGGCCCATATAAAATTGGTCAGGACCTGACATTCGGCCATATGTAGGGCCAAATTGGCCAAGATTGGGATTTCTAATTATTGGCCAGAAAGTGACCAAGAAATGGATGCAGTTTAAAGTCCTACCCAGGAGTGAATTGATGTATGAATGGACATTGGATGTTGAATGAACATTGGATGTTGAATGGACATGACAGTTGAAAGCCTTATCCAGAACTGGGTTATATGAATCAAGATGGCTGGGCGGACCAAAGGAAGGATGGAGTTTAATGTTCTTACCCAGGAATAAAGTGGTCATAAATGACCATTAAATGACCGGATGCAGTTTAAAATCTTACCCAGGACTACACTGATTCTTATTTGTCAAGGAAAGTTCCACTGTAAACAGATGTTGCATGTTAAGATTAGCATAAAATGCATCTTCTAATGCTATGCGTACGTAATGTACATTTTCATCATTTTCACAGAAATTTCAATCAATCTGCCAAGTTTCCAGAATGTTTTGGCTTTTACAGGAATTTTGATTAATATTATAACGTCCACTTGTATTTTATTATTAAAATCCATGCCATGTAGATCTTTGCGACTTTCACTTAAATCCAAGACATATTCTTTGAAGTTAGTTAATAATTTCTCCCCTTCAGTGAGAGCATTTAATAACTGATACCTGAAAGTAGGTACAATATCAGGAGATTCACCAGAATCAGTTTTCACAGAATGTTTTCGATTAACATTAGGATGTAAAAAGGCATTGGGTTTTAATGTTAATAGTTCAGTATCTGACGTACTTTAATATGTTAGAGCATTGGAGATTATAGCTTCGTGTTTATCAGATTTGAAAACCGATCTGTGAGTTATCCAATTGTATTTTGTAAAGTTTTGAGGGGAGACTTTAGTTCTGTCTATAATCCTTTCGGTCTCATTTTGCAGAAATATATCATTATAAGCAGTAGGCATATTTTTTCATTCTAAAGAATGCATAGTTTTATCAAGATCTTTCAAGGCAACTTGATGATTAGATGGCACAGATTTGATCTTGTCTTCGTGCCAAGGTAATTCCACGAAATATGAGTTGTCTTTGAACTCTATCGTTTTTTTTTCGAATTTATCTATTTTGCTTTTGTTATAATCACTGATGTTTTTATCTTCATTGAAGGATAATGGACATTAATCCACAACAACCATTTTCTATGTGTTTTGTTCTACGTTAGATAATTTGAAGGCTTCTGGGAATATTTTAGGGTAAATGAACTTTGGTTCAAAAACAAATTCTCCTTGTTGTTCGGGATACGAAGAATGTCTAAAAATTATAGTATGGTAGTTGTGGTGAACGTTGGAAGCCTTAGGTGCCGCTGGGGTAACTTGATGTCTATATAGAAAATTGAGACTGTTCTCGAAAGGGACATTTCCATTCGGCCTTTTCCACGCCAATCTATTCATACATTTAACTATTTTGATGTCTTCCAGATTTTGGAAAATGTCCACTCCTAGAATTCCTTGAATGTTTATTTGATTACTATTACTATTATGAAAAAAGACTAATTCATACTTTAACCGGGACAAATTCGTTATCATTGTCTGAAATCATCGAACTCGAATTGAATATCAAATTTATCGTCCAACAAAACTGTAATGTTTTGCCTAAATTTACGCCTAAAGTATCTTGGTCTAATTTTTTATTGGGCTCACTGGTATAAGTTTTTACTTGGTAATCACTAGGAATTAGACTCCAGTCAGGACATTTTAACTTTTTTTTTTTTTAAAATATTCCTTTAGAGAAATATGACCGCTAGCTTCTAATATAGGTAGCATTAAATAGCTTACTTCATATGTACTGGCGCCTACATGAGTAAAAAGAGATATTTCCTTTACGATGACCGCATAATGGCGTTATGTGTCCATTAGATAAACATTGTTTAGAGAGAAGGAATAATTTATTTATTCTGAAGTTCAGGGAAATCTTGAGGCTTATGCCGGTTACATAAATTCAAATATCTGTAACGAGCAGTACGGGACTCGAAGGTAGTATATTTTGTACACCCACAAAATTTATATGGTGCCCCATTAGAGCTAATGGCGAAATTCTGTAACGCCGCAATGTTATTTTCCTTTCATCAGAATTATTATTTTTAATATCCTTTTCATACAAACGGAATGGTTTCTTATTTTTCGTTAATGTGCAGATGTTTTCATTATAATTCTCAGACCCATTTTTTTAAGGAAGTTGGAGTAATGGATAACAGCTCGGGTTGAGGAATCGGAGAGCCGAGTTCGAATTCCACTCGAATCCATTATATTCACTTACATGCTAATACCCTTGGGAAAGGTATGAATCCTCTTCTTCTACCCCTAGCTGTGGGCAAATAGCAGGACAGACCGGGTTATATAGCCTTGGATGGCAACTGGTCTACCGCAGAAAGAAATGGCAACCTACTGCGGGAAAGAAATCTGCCTCGCCAGTCATGTATCGAAAGATACATCATCGCCTACGCATGGCACACAACTGAACTGCTACCTACCATGTGAATGATTCCCCGCCTTAAATTATGCGGTAGTGTGGTCAAAAGAAGTTAACAACTCTGTTTTGGAACGTAATTTCAGATTGGACGTTTCTTCCCTTTACACCGGTTTCTTGGTATTTATCATTGTTCTCTTCCCTGTATCCGCTTCGTCGTTCGTCGGTCGTTCCTCCTATCACAACTGTACATATAATACTATGTACCACGGCAGAAGACCTCTCTCATCTCCACGTTGGTCTATTTATAATGGAGAATCACCAATTACTTGCCCGGATGATAGACATAATAGACATAACTGGCACCTTAGAATGGAGCACTAACATACCCGGATGTCTCTCCTAGATTCCGCCCAACCACGCTAATATTATACACAGTTGCTAACGAACCAATTTCTTGTGGAACAACAAACGGAATGATGTACTCGCCTTCTCTCAAATCGAAGTCCGACATGCCAGACAAAAACGAACTCTCTTTCGTCGAGAATAAGGCAAGTCCTGTTCACCATTTCTGCCATTCCACCTCTGGTTCTGGTTCACTATGTCTGCCACACTCCACCCCCCCGATCTCATGATCACAAGTAGCTTATCAAATATGATGTGGCTTACAAGTTTGAATCCAGAGAAACCTTCCTAAAAAAATCCATATACGAAGTTTTAACTCGAACAAATCAGCATGATAATGTTTAACAGTCACAAAATCGGGGTTGTATTTAGGAAAACTGGTTATTATTCGTTTAAAGATCTCATGAATGATAAATGGCACATCCAAAAATTATTTCGTCAATAAATTTATATCCACTAATTGTCATCTTCTATGTTAAGATGAGATATTAGCTGTAGGGTTCAACTAGTTAAATAACTTCAAGAGGGCCAGCCTCGTTTTGTTAGAATTGATTGAATTGGTACAATTATTAAATAGTGCTATAAAATTCTTAAATTAAAATTTAGACGGATTGATGTTACTAAAAATAGAACTCTGTGAGTTGAGATTATTGGGTGAATATTAGTTAAGAAACTGGCTTCATTTCCGTGAGAAATACTCGAAAACCATATTCGTTCCTTTGTTCATCTTCTAAGTCTAGGATGACTTTGATACAAATCTCTTTAATTTTCCCATCCTAAGCTTGAAATTCTCCCGGAAGATTTTCTTCTTCCTTTTTAAAAGATTTTCCCGTTGTTTTCATCCTGTTCCAGAAATTCCAAACTTAAATTTATATCATAGTCAGTAAGGTCCTTCATCTCCTTTAAGTTTCAGAAGTTATCCATCATGAATTAGACAATGAATTAAAATTATTGTACCCCATTTTTTGTAAATTATATTTTGGTTTTCTAGTGTTCAGATTATTTCACTGAACGTGAAAGCAAAAAATATTTTGGATATATTTAGACACGGGCGTTCGGGTTTAAAAAAAAAGGAAGACAGCAGACTCGGAGGTATTGTCTTTCATATAATTTTAAAAAAATTATATTTTGGACTACACCGGATTATTTCACTAAACGTGAAAGCAAAAATTACTTTGTACTGTTTTGGACAAACGTGTCTATAATACCTCATTGTATCGTAAAGGCAAAAAAATTTACCTTTTCTATATATTTTTGGACGCCATTTTAGATCAATAATAACTTCACAGAATTTGTGAAGATAAAATTATTTTAATCATATTTTTTTCATATATATAAACAGAATAATTTGGAGAAATCGTCTCTCATAATAAGAACAGCAGTCTATTATTTTATCTCTCAACATTTTAAGCTCAAATCTTTCTCGATTTTTAAAAGAAATTCTTTGTCATCAACAAAATTGCTTTAATAGGTTTAATTGCTCATTATATATATATATATATATATATATATATATATATATATATATATATATATATAGGCTTTTATCAAAAATGATTAACTCTTAGGCCCCTTATCAAAAATGGTCGTCCCAGCCGTTTCCATAGTAACGAATGAACACGCTTATGACGATACGTAAACTTCAAAATTGGTTATTCCTAAATTTTCGCTTGAGGATGAAACAGGGTTTGTTACTTTAATTCAATTTAATTTTAATAATTATATTGATGGTTTCGGCTCTCGTTTTTGAAACGTAAGAACTCTTATGTAGCGAAGGAATCATATTCTTTTTATATATATATATATATATATATATATATATATATATATATATATATATATATATATATATTTAATGAAAACAGACACTTTTAAGGTACCATTACAATAATTTATTTCACCAAAATCCTTTTTAAAGGATTTCGGATCATCAGGTAACACTTCCAACAATTAAATGAGAGGACAAAATGTGATTAGAAATTGATGGGTAGTGTAATTTTTGTAATTAAACAGAGAGGGTGAAGGTGGCGGTTAAAGAGACAATACAAAATATAGGGAGGGTTAAATTTACATCTCTCTTAAATAAGCTTTAAATTGGGGTAGGAGGAGTGACCTAACTTTGATCTATTTATGTGGTAAAAGAAAAAGGTAGTGATATATAGGAATAGTAAGGAAAGGAAATAAAGTAAAAGGAAAAACGAGAAAAAGTGGAAAAAAGCAGACGTATCCAAAAGAGTTTTATGGCAAAGAGGGAGGGGGAGAGGGAAGTGAATCGAAAGAGAGAAAAAGGGGAAAAAAGGCCAGACGTATTCAAAAAAAATTTTATGGCAAAGAGAGAGGGGGAGAGGAAAGTGAATCGAAAGAGAGAAAAAGGGGGAGAAAAAAAAGACAGACGTATTCAAAAGATTTTTATGGTAAAGAGGGAGGGGGAAGTGAAATCCGAACTTCTTTAAAAAGGATTTTGGTGAAATAAATTATTGTAATGGTACCTTAAAGTGTCTGTTTTTCATTAAATATTAGCTCTGTTCTTCACATTGAGCTCTCAGGATTTCATCCGCCTTGGATTTACCAATTCGGTTTACCAAATTCTTCATAACTTAACTATATATATATATATATATATATATATATATATATATATATATATAGATAGATAGATAGATAGATTATTAGGAGGATTTGAATAATCATGATTAATTCATCGAGTCTAGAAGAATCCTCAATTAAATGCAAAAAGCACTGGACGGCCGTTTTGTCCTATTTTTGGGACTCATCAGCAGTGCGTATCCAATACCGAGAATGGAACCGGGACCGTTACGATATGACGCAAGCGTCATACCCACTAGACCAACGGGTTTCAGTGACGAAGAGGTCACACACACACACACACACACACACACACACACACACACACACACACACACACACATACATATTATATTAAATCCTTTTTTGTTAAGCGAAATTGCGTATACGTTCGGCAAAATTGTTTACTTGAAAAACTTTAGTAAAATGTGTCAAATTTTAAACTTTAGTAAAATGTGTCAAATTTAACGACCTCTCATACAGGGTCGTAGCTTGATGAATACAAAGAGAGACAACTAAACATTGTAAAACATTCTTCATATAAGTAACGCAATACATAACATGAAAGAGAACACATAAAAATGGCTAAAAACATATTCCTTTAGCTGTTTCAGTCAAAGCTTCGATAGACGAAATCCAATCAAATCTGTTCGAAATAGATGACATTTATCTGATTGGCGTTTCATATTCTGCTTTATTATCTGCATGAACTCTCATTATTCAGGTCAGCGTTCCTGTTCAGTGTGGTCTGGAGACAAGTCTCATCGCTTCATATTCATCTTGGCGTCTCCGGTCTGGTTAAGCTAAAACACGCCCATTCGACGTCTCTTGGTGCACGAAATCCTGGGTCTCGTCCACAATCACTTTATAATAGACTCTTCCATCATTAACAGCAGGAGCCATCTATCAAAGGGAGATGGCCCATATTTTTTTTTTTATATCTGCTGAACATTTCCACCAGAGAGGGAAACGCGTTGGTAAAGAAATATTTTCCGTTTGTCTTTATTCATATTGTCTTTTTACAGTTATATTCTATTTATATCTGAATTTTTGCATATACACAAACATACACACATATCTATCTATCTATCTATCTATCTATCTATCTATCTATCTATCTATCTATGTGTCTCTTCATTATCTATCTATCTATCTATCTATCTATCTCTCTATCTATCTATCTATCTATCTATCTATCTATCTATCTCTCTTCCTTATCTATTGAAGTCTTCTCATATCTATCTATCTATCTATCTATCTATCTATCTATCTATCTATCTATCTATCTATTCTCTTCCTTATCTATTGAATCTCATCATATCTATCTATCTATCTATCTATCTATCTATCTATCTATCTATCTCTCTTCCTTATCTATTGAAGTCTTCTCATATATCTATCTATCTATCTATCTATCTATCTATCTATCGTCATACACAGTAGACTGTTACACTGTATCAAAGTTCTTCAGTGTTTGCTTCAAGCCGAAGCAGATCGAAACCCGACCGATTTGGCATCAGTCAGAGATCCTACCCCTAGGCTATCGACAGAGAGAAAGGGAAATTTTAACGTTTTCTATACGAAATATACCAGTGGCCAGGAGAGCTCAATTCTGTTGAAGAGCAATGCATTAATAGCAGTAGGAGCCACTGTTTTTAAAATTACCCTTTTCTCAAGAGAGCTCAACCGGATTTCCCGAGAGCATATATTGTCATCCACAGACAGGCTGTTTCGCTTTATCACAGCTCTTTAGTGTGGCTAGACGTCTGATTACTTTAAGCCGAAGCCGATCGAAACCCGACCGATATATACTTCTTATCCTACCCTGTTCCTTCCGTTTTTAACCTTGTTTCTTCCATTTTGATTATTGTTCTCTACATTCCGTATATTCTTCTCTCTTTATCCAACCCTGTTCCTTCCGTCTTTAATCGTGTTCCTTCCATCTTGTTTATTGTCCCCCTCCTATTTATAACGTGTTCTCTTCGTCTCGTATCTTGTTCGTTTCTTCTTCTATATTTTGCCCTTTCAACCTATTGCTTTATTCCTCCTGTTCCTTTTTTTCCCATCCTTACTTTGTTTCTTCCATATTTTACAGTGTCAGCTTTTTATACCTGTCTCTCTTTTTGCATCTTGTCCCATTCGTTTTATTATATTTTTTTTTTGATAGTGGTGGTGGTGGTGGGGGGTGCTTGTTTTCCTATTATTTATAGACAGGCACAATCGTCTACGCATGTCTATTACGACGTCTATGTATTCGTGGTGAGAGAATGATTTCCTGGCAGCATGCTTTAAGGGCAAAAGTGGCATGTTGAAGGCCACCTACACCGATGCATAAAAGCATGTTTTTATCAAAAGTGATAGATAGATATGAAATGCACACACACACACACACACACACACACACACACACACACACACACACACACACACACACACACACACACAGAGAGGGAGTGAGATAGATAGATAGATAGATAGAGAGAGAAAAGAACAGACTGAGATACATTTTCCTTCTTTTTCCTTCTCTAATTTTTCTTAACATCTTTTCTTTCCTTATCACTTTTTCTATTTTTCTCTCGCTTTTTTTTTCTGACGTATTTCTTTGTCTTCGTCTCTATTTCTCCAGATCTCTCTCTCCCTTCCATTGCTTCTCATTACTATCTTTCTTTGAGATTACTTTCTTTTCTTGTTTCTTCTTTACTCAGTTTCTTTCATCTTTTCCTTTCTTTTACACTTTTTCAACTCCTCTTTCACTTATCATGTCAACATTTTCGCCCCAGAGAGAAAGAAAGAAAGAAGTGGATAGAAAGAGAGAGAGAGAGAGAGAGAGAGAGAGAGAGAGAGAGAGAGAGAGAGGGGGAACAGACTGAAGTAGATAGATTTTTCCTTCTTTTTTCTTCTATTTCTTTGTTTTCTTCTTTTTTCTTCTCTAACTTTTCTTAACTTCTTTTCTTTTTCTTTCACTTTTTCTATCTTTCTCTTGTTTTTTTTTCTTACGTATTCCTTTTTCTTCGTCTTTATTTCTCTACCGCTCTCTCTCTCTCCCAGTGCTTCTCATTTTTTGAGATTATTTTCTTTCTCACGTTTCCTTCCTTACTCTCCTTCTTTACTCAGTTTCTTTCCTCCTTTCCTTTCTTTTACTCTCAACTTTACTTTTCAACTCCTTCTCTTTCACTCATCATGCCAGCTTTACCGCTCCACCTACAACCATCGACCTCCGCTCAAACTGTCTTGACCAAATACAGCCAAAAAAAAGAAAAAAAAAAAAAGAAAAAAGAAATCTCCCTTCTGTCTCTTCCTTCTTCAGGTCTGCCACAAGTTACAAGTGGCTGACTGGACACATTTTCATTTCTATTTTCTCTTTGTCTCATCCCCACCCACCTTACTAGTACCGCGCGCGTTTTCCCGTCACCCCCACAGCCATAGCTCTCCTCGAGCTTCTTTTACGTTTCTACTTCCTCGACGCATTCGCACCATTTTGGTCAATAGAATAAATTATTCCAACCATACTCCAACTATCTCTTTACATAGGTACAAGCTGCTCACTGAATATTTATAAGGACTTCAGGCGAACGGACAGGTCAGCACGGCTGTGCCGCTTAATATCGATTTCGTCCATACATTTTAGCCAACGTGGTCACCTTGAATATACACGTGCTGAACCACAGGTATAAACAGAAGCTCAAAAACTCTTGTGAACACATATACAATACTCACACACTCAGCACATTCTGAGATGCTTACAAAACAGAACACACACACACACATACATACATATATATAAAATATGTATAAAAACTTACACATAAAACTCAGACGCGATATACAGAGAAGCATCGATAAATATATATTTATAAACAACTTGCTAACAGATCTATCACAGTCTGTGCATATCTATCTATCTATCTATCTATCTATCTATCTATCTATCTGTCTGTTCAAATCTATCTATCTATCTATCTATCTATCTATCTATCTATCTATCTATCTCAGTTTGTTCATTATCTATCTATCTATCTATCTATCTATCTATCTATCTCAGTTTGTTCATATCTATCTATCTATCTATCTATCTATCTATCTATCTATCTCAGTTTGTTCATTATCTATCTATCTATCTATCTATCTATCTATCTATCTATCTATCTCAGTTTGTTCATATCTATCTATCTATCTATCTATCTATCTATCTATCTATCTATCTATCTATCTCAGTTTGTTCATATCTATCTATCTATCTATCTATCTATCTATCTATCTATCTATCTATCTATCTCAGTCTGTTCAAAATCTATCTATCTATCTATCTATCTATCTATCTATCTATCTATCTATCTATCTATCTAGATCGATGAGAGAAGATGATATATAATTTTTTATATACCAGAACATTGTTAGGACAATCAGTGGCAAAGTGGAATTTTTTTGTGTGTATTTGACAAGTTTCGTCCTTTTTAATCCGATAAAGTCCAAAAGGACGAAACGCGTCATCCCAACACACACACACACACACACACACACACACACACACACACACACACAGAGAGACTGTATGTAGCCAAGACACTCCTCACTTACCTGTGTGGATAGAATTCAAAAACGTATACCCGGACTTGTAGGTGATGAATTATTTTCCACCTTGCAATTCCTTTCCTTCAAACGAAAGGTTACAAGCCAACAGTAACTCTATCTCTATTTCCAATGTTCGACCAGTCCTGACTTTTGCAGCAAAGACCCGTAATGCCACTTAATCTGGGACGAATTATTCTCATACCCTTCGTATTCCATTAGGAAGAAAGACGTTTCACGCGAGTAGATTCCGTAGAATTGCTGCGTTGTGGAACAGACACCCGATCACTACAATCTTAACCTCTTCAAGTCAAGGGTTAATAGTCCTACATACTATCATAAACTGCATTTCTTACTTCTTCCTTTTACGCTCATACAACTTAATTCCGTAATTCACTACCTTGAGAGGCTTTTGTGCCTTGTATTGGGTGACTATTAGAAAAAGAAATAGACATGCATACATAGGTATAACTCCATTGTAGTTACGGAGGAATTTATTGGCGCTTTTTCTGCTTTATATGTCGTTACGCTGTTATCTTAACAAAGCAAAATAAATAATTCACTCTCTCTCTCTCTCTCTCAGAGTGAACTTTAGTTTTTATATATATATATATATATATATATATATATATATATATATATATATATATGCAGAAAAGAGAAGAAGAGAGAGAGAGAGAGAAAGAGAGGGGGGTATAGTTAGGAATCCGACAAAATGATAGGAAAACGAACAACTAGGAAACAGTTCTAGTATATATAAGATCTGTTTCCTACTGGTTCGTTTTCCTATTATATATACATAAATAATAATAATAATAATAATAATAATAATAATAATAATAATAATAATCAAATCCGTAAGTGGAAAGGATAATCCTAGTATTTCGTTTTAACATAAAATATTAAAAAGATATACCCATAAATAGAGTTTTTCGATGATGCGTTAAGTTTTTCCTTTGATATATATATATATATAGCACTAAGTTTCACTCACTAAAAGGCTCAAGAACCACTCAAGACATAGTATTACTTGACGTAGCGAGTGATATGCACATAAAAGTAGCAATTGAAGATTATGAGAATATGGAGGATAGATAATAACTGACTGTAGATTGTAGTTGTAATTTTTTATTAGTTTGGTTAAAGTTCAAAGAAAATTATTTTATAAAGGATTTTAAATGTATTCTTTCTCTATTTCGCATCATTTTCTGGGCTTTCAGTATCGGTAGAGTGATTTTCCAAGAGTA